CGGCCTTGGAGCCCCACTTTAGGCTGCGAGCGCGGCCTTGGAGCCCCGCTTTAGGCTGCGAGCGCGGCCTTGGAGCCCCGCTTTAGGCTGCGAGCGCGGCCTTGGAGCCCCGCTTTAGGCTGCGAGCGCGGCGCGGAGCCGCTGCCGCACGGGCAGGACGGGGTTTATGGTGTCCTTGGCTCCTCTCCCTTCTGCCTCCTTAAGATGACGTGGGAGTAGCTGTTGCTCAGCAACCATGGCTGCTTCTATAGCTCCAGTGTTTCTGAAATAAAGCCAAGGGTTTACACATCTTTATCCACCTAAAGAGAAAGGGAAAACAAAGGGAAGCTCCTGCATGGGCGCAGCGGAAAGCGTGAGCTCCACTTGCCCTTAGCGCCYTTGTTGTGCAGTTCCCCTGTGAATGCCAAACGAACCCCCTGGCAGCAATAAGTGCCCAAGACCACCGGCCCCCTGAGCACACAAACAGCTTGGGAGCATCTCGGGGGAAGAGGCGGCGTGTGCCAGGCCGGAGCATCGGCAGGGCTGTCCCGCCTTTGCTGCCCTCCTCTCAGCCTCACCTGCTCGGGCTCTGCTGCTGCTTTCTTGGCCTTTCGGCCTCCTTCCCATGGTGATTGTCACCAACGGGAAAGAAGTGCCCGAGAGGACAGGTGTCCCTGCAGGCCCAGGCACGGGGAGCCCGTGACCCACCAGGGCCGCCACACGAGGCCTCGGCCCGGGCGCCTAACGCGTTCCCTGCTTGTGGCGCCGCTGCCGCGAGGCCGCCCCCACGGCAGATTGTGTTCATGGAAGAGCGGAAAACTTGCACGGCTGTCTGGCACCACCGGTACACCTGAAATGGTCATTTTGTTTTAATGCTGCCCCCAAATGCTTTGAGAGCAGAGGCTCCATCTGCAGAGGCCAAACGAGGACAGCGGGGAGTTAAGCCGCGCTAGCACGTTAGGCTCCGGGGATTTCACTCTCTGGGCACTGCACCCGTAAGTACAATATTTTTAAATAACAAATTCCTTTTAGTCACCTGAAGTGGCCAGATTTCCACTAAGCATTTTCCTAAGCATCTTAATAGTCATGGCCAGCTTCAAAAGTCTTCTGCAGTTCTCATCAAGAGTAATGGGAGCTCATGGGCAAAGCTGGAATTGTTCAAACGGACACCTGGGATCGGAAGCCTCTGGAGAGGAGCAGCGGGCGGGAACGTTTCACAAGCCCTCCTGAAACGCTTCTCGTGGCGCGGCTCCAGTTCACAAACACCCACAAACGCGGGCAGGAAGGAGGCACTGAAACGAACGCAGACTTCCCTCTGCCTGCACTGGATGCGCGGCTGTCACATCCCTTGTTCTGGTGGTCGGTCTGTCCAGCCTTCTGTCCACCCTTTGCAATCCCAGCGTGAGGAGGATCGTGTGAAGCAGCCCAGCGACATGACCTGCCCCTTAGAGCAGAGCTGCAGCCCTGCAGGCCRTTCTCTTGGCCGCAGACATGCAGAGCGTTAGAGCTAAGCTGCACCTTCGGCCAAGACCTGCAGGAACCAGGCACCCAGCCTGTGACAGCAGCTCCCGCTTTTGCTAAAGCTTCTTCTGTTCCACTGTGGCTTCCACTCCAAAAATTCAACATTTGAGCATGCGTAAAGGTGGAGAGAGTTTAGAAGGATTCCTCTGATGTATTTCTAGGACATCATGTGTTGGTAAGTTCTTAAATTCAACATGGGTTGTCTCTGTGAAATCCAGGCCTTCTCCAAACCATCGTTTCTCTTAAAAACCTGCCCACATAGGCTTGGATGCAGCACTCCTGAGCATTCAAAGGGTTTTTCTTTGCTCCTCCAGCAACGTTCAACAAGGGCTTTCTTTGAATTTGACCTTGGCTTGGCTGCCCTTCCTCCTGAGCAATCCGAGAGCTGCACTTGCAGCACCAGGGAGGACTGAAGCGGAGGATCTACAGTGCAGACCAGAATTCAGGCTACGGATACGTGGCTTTCTGGACTTGCTTTTCCCTTCTGGATCTCCAGAGCTTCAAGTTGTTCACGAAAAATCAGAAAGTGCCTCTGCTGCTGCATCCATGCCAMGCAGTTTCCAGTCTCCGCAGAGCTGATAACCACCCTGAGGGACTGCTCTAGGCCATGCTCATGACAGTARTCATTCTTGTTCTCCCCGTCCATGCTGAGGCTGCCGGCGTGCTCTGCTCTAACAAGCTCTGATGCGTTGCACTGTGCTGGCGATGGTGCTTTGGGTGGGTTGAGCGAGCTCCCCGTTGTCCTGACAGGTTATTCCCATCCGGCTGSTCCCTGCTGCTGCTCAGCGCTCCAGTGTACGCACCATCCCGTTCTCCTCCTCAGCTTAAAACTTCGTGCAAAACATACCTGAACTCCCTGGGCTCCGAGCACAGGCCTGTCCTCCGTGACCACATGCAGGAGCAGTTTCTGCTGTTGCAAATTATCTTTACCACAGTTACTAACTAAACAGCAAACTTGACTTTCCTCCTTATATAACCATTACAATACAAATGCCACAGGGGCTTGCTAAGCGACTTGGCAAGCGCTGCAGTGGACTCAGCTAAGGGCAGATTTCAGCTGATGAGGCAGCTGGGGAGGCCGCTTGTCGGCTGCACCGGGGGCCTGGGCCCGGAGGAGCGGTGGGCAGCGGCTCTCGCCGGGGGCAGGACGGAGGCAGAGCTTGTTGGAGCGGGCGCCGGGGCTGTGCCCCCTCCCAGTGCTGCGTTAGCCCCTTCCCGCGCTGTGTTAGCCAGGGAGCTGCCGGCAGCCGGACCCGCACAGAGCGCAGGGAGCGTTGGGGGCCACGTCTGGGACCTCGGCGAGATTCCGGGAGCACCCACACCTGCAGGGCACCCGATGCAGAGGCATTGGGCACAGCGACAGTGTCGTATCTGCAGTGACACAGGCAGCAGACACACGGGCACTGCAGGCTGCCCTGGGTGCAGAGGGCTCCTCTCTGGGTCACGAGTGCCTGCTGCTGCACTGGGGGTGCACTTGGAGCAGTGCCCAGTGTCCCACACCCCCCAGGTTGCACAAGCACCAAGCTGGGCAGCTGTCTGGGGCGCACTGGTCGAGGCCCAAGGGGAGGCGCGTGGAGCCCGGCACGGCCTGGCCGGGGGGCGCCGAGGAAGGGCCTGGCTCTGGGCGGCAGCTCCAGCGCGGCTGGGCCGGGGCCAGGGCAGCTGGAGCCCCGCACRGCTCCGCGAGCTGCCGGCCACGGCGCTGCCCCCAGGGCCAAGCAGGCGGCAGGCAGGGGAGCCCCCAACGCTGCGGAGGCACCGCGCGCTGTATTTCAAATAGTTTAATTTTAAAAATATTCTATTCAGTGCTAAAATATCTCTCCACTTCCGCGAGCAGCCGGCGCCTTCGACTTCACCAGGCTCGATCACAGACTCGGTGGGACATGCAGATGGCGGTGGGGGAGGGCAGGTAGAGCCCCCCAGCGGAGGGGAAGCTCCCCCGGGGTGCCGGGGCAGTGGGGGCTGCGGGGCCGGGGTGCTCATGGCAGGGAGCGTGAGGACAGGGGAGGCTGGGTCCCCACACCATGCTGGGGCATAGGCAGGGAGCCCCCAGGCAGAAGGGCTTCCCGAGGGGTCCCTACACCCTGCGGCATCCTCCCCCTGGCCGGCGGGTCAGGGCTGTACCTAGGTGGGTGGCAGGAGCTCCCCCGGGCTCAGGAGCTGCTCCCTCTGCTCTGGCTGCCCCTGAAGGGCAGCAGGCGCAGGGCGGGCGGGCACCCTCCCCGGGGCCGCCTCCCAAGGACGCAGGGCCCGGCTGCAGAGCAGGGACAGGCTGGGAGCTGYCGCGCACCGGACCTGCCCTCCACAGTGGTCGTGCTCCTGTGGCTTCCAATACTAATGGCTTCAACTAGCAGCTTATTGCACAGTGTCCCAGCTTGGGAGCCCTGCCCCGCGGCATGGGCAGCCTTTGGCTCTCTCCCCACCACATTCTCCGCCCTCCTGTTCTCTCCCTCACATCTCACCCACTGCAGAAACGCTCCAGGCCACAAAGGAGCAGACAAATCACTTGGCACAGGTGGAACCCGGCTCTTGCAGGGGCAGCACCTAGGGAGGGTAGGCAGGGGATCCAGATGCAGGCAAACGGCCTCTGCCAGGGCCTCGGGGACTCGTCCCCTCACACATGCAGGCTACACGCTAGAGACCCCCACGCCACTATAGTACAGCTTAGCAGGGAGAGAGGGACCCAATAAATAGAGGCAAATTTGCAGGTTATCGGTGGCAGGAAGTGCCCAAAGCACCATCCGCCTGGGGGAAACGCAGGCTGCCTCCAGCCGGAGGCGCCCGTCACCGGGGCAGGGCAGGCTGGCTCACGAGGCGGCAGGAATGCCCTGTCCCCCGGGAAAAGGCAGGCTGGAGGGAAGCACCCCGTCCCCAGGGAAGGGCAGGCTGGCTCTGCGAGGGGCTGGCGAAGGCGCTGTCCCCGGGGACGGGCAGGCTAGCTCTCCGAGGCCGTGTGGCACACAGAGTTCTGATCGGCACAAAATCTCTTCAGAGGCGGCGCGCCCGAGTCCTCCTCCTCTTCAGTTACCTGCAACAGGCAGAGGGCAGAGGTTACAGCAGCGCCGTGGCGGCCAGCGAGGCCGGGCCCACACAAGGCTGGGTCTCGCTTTGTGGGGACCCCCCGGGCTCTTATCTGTGCGGCAGCTTCAGTGAGAGCCAGGCCGTGAAAGAGCCACAGGGCATCGTGAGCAGGAGCTTCRCGCAGCCCTGGCTGGGCTACAGTCCTTGTTTTGCACCATTTACACATTTTTCTTCACACAATTTGTGCCCTAGCACCTAAACTGAAACCAAACTGGAAGGGCCAGGCTGGTTCCATTTGCATCTAGTCAAGGTTTCGATCCTCCTTCCCTTACCTGAGTCTCAAGGGGGACTGGCTCTTCCTTAGTGAGAGTGGGAGGCTCGTCTGCCACTTCTGAGGAAGGCAGGGAGGGCTCTGAAGAAAACAGAAGGGTTAACGTGACCRCAGAGACAGCAGCACCATGTTACCCAGCTAACTGCTGCAAGCCAAGAAGAGCCTCTGGGCAGCCAACATGGGCCTCCACCGGCGCATCCTCCTCCAAAGCCGCCCGAGCCGCCCCCAGGACCCACCTTCCAGTGCCTCCTGCCCCAGCGTGGGCGGCTGCGAGTCATCCGTGCGGAAGTCGGACGTGTGAGCAGGGCTCATGGACTCGCTCTGCTGGGGACTGGGGCTGGAGTTGGGGCTGCTGTCCACCTTGAGCTGGTAGACGTCTGACAAGGAGCTCTGGTTACTGTTCTCATCTGCAGAAACAGCACCTAGTGAAGGAGAGCACCTTGACCAGGGGCACAAGCAGCCAAGGGCGGCACTGAGAGCCAGGGCTTTGCAGGGAAGGAAGGGCACGGACAGGAGGTGACACTCAGAGCGGGGGCGATTCGTACACTCTGCAAGAAGCATCAGAAACTTCCCATACAGGGCTCTCCACAGGGACACAGCTACCCAACAGCAGGGAGAACGCCCACGAGCTGCCTCCAGAAGAGGAACGAATCCTGCAATTCGTCTTTTTGAGGTAAAACAGAGCCACGAGGGCCCAACTGCAGGGCTGCGACGTAAACACCARGAGAATCCCTATCCTTCCCGCGCGGTGCTCAGGTAAGCGGGCACAGGGGCTGCCCCCTCCCTGTCCCAGCAGCGAGTCCCAGCACTTTGCCCTGCTCCACCACAGAGTCTGGCCTAGTTGTGCCTGACTGGAGTGTTTTCTGCTGGGATCCCCCGCAGTTAAGGCAATGAGGGATGTGCAGCTCACTGCTTACAGAGCACTCAGCGGCCAGGCCAGAAATGGGAGTGAAATGTGCAACAACTGAACAAGAGCCACGCTAAAGAGCACAGTACTTTCCCCATACATACAACGCATAAAGCCAGTAACATCCCATCTCCGCCGAGACCGCAGCGTCTCTCCTGAGCTGGGAGGACGAGGAGGGCTCAGCCAGACTCACCCTGGAACTCCAGCAGGAGAGAGGAGTTGGCAGACGTGTCGGCCGGGAAGCCATTGGGTTCCCGCGCAGCGCTGCCACTCGATTTGGACTTCTCTTTCTGGAGGAGAGAAAGAATAAATAAATGAACAAGTAGATGAAGAGAAAGACCGCGTTGAAGAGTGACCCACAGGCAAGGCACACAGAAACCACCCCGGAGATGGGGACGCCACCCCGGGACACGGCTCGCGCCCTCCGCAGCAGCCCCGGGGCTCCCTGACCGCAGCGGGGCCGCGGCGGGGGCAGCGCGGCACCTACCTCCTTGCTATCCGCCACTGGCACCCACTTGAATATCCGCAGGGACGTGTCGCCCACCGTCACCCACTTCTTCTCCCTGCGCCGAGGGCAGCGTT